CCCTACCTCTCCCTGCGAGTCAGACACCCCGAAGTCCCCGACTTGCGTGCTCGACTCCGGCTGGACCTGAACCTTGGCACCCGGCACGAGCATGCCGTCAAGGTCGACCACACGGAGGAGGAAGTCGCGGTAGCCCGGCTCCTCGAGTTTGAGCTCGTTGAAGGAGCGAACGGCGATGGTTCCGCTGGCAGAGACCTCCAGGAAGCAGATATCCCACCAGCTGCCAGCCTCCTCCTGGAGGAGGGAGGTCAGAGAATGTTCGAGACAGGTAGGAGGGAGGGAGGGGGGTGAGATGAGAAGAAGAGAGAGGCATGAAAGAGCAAGAGGAGGAGAAGGTGGTGGTGGTGCTGGTGGTGGAAGAGGAGGAGGAGGAGGAGAAGGGAGGTAACGGGGGCCGCACTCGTCCGCAGCAGTTGAAGCTCCGCGCTCCCTCCCATGCCATGTCCTCTGGTGTGTAGAAGCGAAGCTCTGCGTTGGAGTTGGACCAGCCGATGTCTCTTCCTCCCACTTTGTACGCTTCGCAGTGAGCGTAGATATGATAGCGCCCGGGGATAAGGCCGGACAGGAGGACCTGATCGACTTGTTAGAGAGGGAGACGTAGAGAAGGGAAAGAGGGAGGAGCGAGAAGATGAGGAAAGGAGAGCAGAGGAAAGGAGAGGGGAGGGGGGAGAGATGAGAAGAAAGATTAGATAAAATGAGAGGAGAGGACGAGGACGAGGACGAGGACGAGGAGAAGAGAGGAGAGGACGAGGGGGAGCGAGGAAGGGCAGCAGGATGCACAGCACATGGGAGGGGGGGGATGGAAGGGAGGAGGGAGGAGGGAGGAGGGAGGAGGGAGGAGGGAGGAGGGAGGAGGGAGGAGGGCTACCGATATCGGCCCGAATCCTCCTTCAGTCGGGGCGACCTCGAACTTTGCGTTCTCCAGCGTCTGCTGGCCCATCAGGATATCCTTGGGGATATCTAGGCCCTCCACGCCAGGGGACGGGGACTTGATGTTCCCCTCCGGCGTCTTGACCTTGAGGAATACCTCGTGCGGGTACTCGGCCCACGTCAGCACGATCCTGACCTGCCCGTCAGGAAGGGGAGGAACGAGCGGCACACAGATGCTCTTGGAAAGATCTCCATGGACGTCGAAGGTCGCCGACCCCTGGAGGTCGCCCGAGTCCTCGGAGGAGGCGGGGAGCCTGGCGATGGCGGTGAGGCTCTTCCTGAAGGGCAAGTGCAGCATCTGCGAACCCCTCCCGTCCGTCCTCGAGTGGCTGTTGGGAGGATGGAACTCTTCCTCCGTCGATTGGTCGTGGACTTCGACCAGGGCTCCAGCACACGGGAGGCCCTCGGGGACTTTGCGAACCAGCACCTCGAACTGCGTGATCCTCGCTCCGCTCAGCACGCGCACGAGGTAGTCGACGACGTCAGGAGGGTTCGGGAACTTGAGTGTGTTAAGCTTCGAGAACAGGACGACGGACTGCCTGCCTCCTCTACCTGACGACCAGTTGCTCGATCCCCAGGACAGTAGGATTTCGAACGAGCCCAGTCTCGGTCGGCGGAGGGAAGGGTCGAGGGACTGCGGGCCGAGGCACCTCTGGGGATCGTTCTTGCTCACCTTGACGTTCCACATCGCGTCCCCGTCCGGAGTTTCAGCCAGCTTCGACTCCACCTCCCTCACCAGCGAGTTGTAATTAGTCTCGTAGCGGTTGTACGGGGTACCCTCCTTGTAGGACTCCCTCAGCGACAGAGACTTGGTTCGATCCGCGATGCAGACCTCGACGTCTATCTCCAGGGGGGTGTCGAACCTGATGCTCCCCATCTCCACCATCTTTTTGAGCTCTTCGTGTTCTCGCTTCCAATAGTAGCAGAGCTTCCTTCCCGGATGGAGGTCCGGGTTGTCAGCGTGAGCCTTGCCGGGGGACCTCATCCCGAGAGAGTTGGCCGTGCTGGGCCTGCTCTTGAGAGATTTGTTCATGTTCAGCTCAAGAATTCAAGATAATCGCGATAGTTCCCAACAGTCGATGGAGGGTTTGAAACCGCCGCGCACACGTCCCGCGCCGACAATCACCAGCTCCTCCACGCAGACGCCATCAACCTTAATGCAGCGATCCCGGTACCCGTCCCTAGATGCTCTGCATGCTGCTCTGCACACAATCAGGTACCCTCACTTGCAACCCCTGGATAAGCTTGAGATCCCACCTTGCAGTTCACTTTCAGTCCTCTGTGTCCTCATCCTCTCCTCGTCCTCCAGACCCTCTCCTCATCCTCATGATCGACATACTCTCATGACCGCCATGTCGCATCCTCCACCTCCTCTCGCCGTCTCCGCCATGTACTCATCGCTCCATCTCCATCAGCTTCGCCGCTTCTCCCCTACTTTCCCAAGCTGCATAATCAACCGTCGACCACCCCCCCTTCTTCACCCCACAAACTAGCCCAGTGAGTACCCCTACACAATACCCTCTGACCCACCCTTGAGTTCCTCCCGCAAGTTAATTACAAAAGTACCCCTCAGGGTCCAAAAATGAGACACCCACCCTCCCTAGACTGACACACCCCCCTTTGTACATGATGTACCCCCGAATCCTCTACCAACATTGGTACCCACCACTACCCCTACCACCCCATTCGAGTGACTAGAGGATTGTGAGGCTCGTTTTTTTACCGTACTGTCGGAGCCTCGATGTGCCTCCCGTCCCCAGCTGCGTGAATCGAGCCTGAGTCGGCACAGTCCAAGTCCGATCTCAGTAGAGGGCCCGGCCCGGTGACTGTCCGGTCGCCACAACACGGTGCCTTTACTCAAAGCACCGTCAGTCGGTCTTTACTCTCATCAGTCGGTACTACGCGCCGACAGCCCGGCCCGGGCCGCTGCGTGACTGAGTCACTGCTAGCCGCGCTGCCGAGGAGGGCTTGACACTGACCAAGTTGAGGTTGCCGGGCCCGCCCGGGCCACGTGCCCCGGGCGGTCACCGTGACGGTGCACTGCCGAGCCTGGCGGCCAGTCACTCAGCAGGCAGAATTACCCCTGGGTCTCAGTTCCCTGAGGCGGACCTGGTGACTGGACTCTAACCATGTTGGGGCGTGGGGTTCGGCAAGCGATGCTGGCGGGGGGCTGGCGATGGCGGGCGATGCACTCACAGCCGGACGTGAGCGAAGTCGTTGAGCTGAGTACAGCAAGAGGAGGGGAAGTGAAGGTAGATGTGCGATGTCTGGATGATCCTTTCTCAAGTTTGCTGGCAAGCTCGGAAAGCTCAGGCAGTTGGTCAATCTCCCTCCCTTCGACGAGGTGTTCTTCGCCTCTCCGTGCCGTGGACCACTCCCAGCCCTCATGCTGGTCGCAGATGTTTGGGATCGCTCGCAAGAAGATGCTAGCTTGCATCGACGTCGAGCTCAGGAAAGCGCACAAGAAGAAGAAGTGAGCGAGTCGGTACTCTTGAGTTGTTGAAAGCAAAGCGCAGATCGGAATTGAATGCCTTGGATTTTGCAAACGTGCATAAGCTGTCTCTCCTGGCGTTCTCCTCCTCCATTTCCATCCCGCTGGGAGAGGTCTGAAGTGGATGTCCAGCTGCTCGTTCCCTGACCCCGATCCTCTAACCAGGTGCTGAAGCAGAATGAGAATCTCCTGAAAGGGCTTCACGACTTTGAGAGGGTCTCTAGGAGCCCTCTCCTCGATGCCTGCAGTCCTGCTCACGCCTCCCTCAGGTAGCAGCCGAACTGATCTTCGAGGACTCGAGACGGAACAACGGTCAGGAGCTGGACAATGTGGGAGGGAGAGTCCTGTTTGATGCTGGCGAGATGAGACTGCGACAATGCAGGCGACGGCAGGGATAACGGAGCTGCGGAAGCAGATTGTGAGCAGCTCGACGTGCGGCCTTGTCTGACAAGATGGCTGATGACTGGCAGGTGTTCGACCTCAAGGATGCGTCATCCAAAATATCCAAGTTGAAGAACAAGGATGAGATCATGCTTGTGCGAGTCGATGCGACGCCCGTGTGGTCTGAGCTGACCGCAATCTCCTCAAGGTGCACAACACTGCTCTGCAGAAGTCGAAGGTACTGCTGGCTCAACACAACAACGACATCAAAGTGGGGCAGATTGCTGATATACACATGTTTGCTGACTTTCCCCCCCCTTAGCTCATAAGGAACTACGTCAAGAGGTTCCGATCTCTTCCTTTCATCGATCTGAGGTCCTCCTCTCCCATCCTCCCTCCTGTTTCCTCTTCCTTCTCCCCTGTCACTCCCTCCTCCCCCTCTCCCTCCCAGTCTCCCCCTTTCTCCGCTTCCCTTCCTCCGCCCGGTCTGCCCTACTCTCTCCTCTGCATGGACTTGGGAGACCTGCTAACTCGTGCTGCAGCGTACCTCTCTTTGTGCTCGTCGGAGCTCCAAACGTGGGAAAGAGCAGCATAGTGAAGGCGGTCTCGACTGGTGAAGGAGAGGAGGAGGAGGGGGGAAGGCGGTGAGACGAAGGAGCAGGGGAACCGGAGGTGGCGGACTACATCTTCACCACCCGCAAGATCTTGCTAGGGCACATCTATGACACTACCTATGGAGGCTGGCAGTGTCAGGTGAGGAGAGGGAGCAGGGGCAGGAGTAGCAACAGGGAGCGGGGAGCGGGGAGCAGAAGGGATAGGAGCAGGAGTAGGAGCAGTAGCAGCAGCGGCAGCACTTTCGAGATTGTGGAGGCACAGGCAGGATGGGTGGAGAGAGGGAGTGGGAGACGCGGGCGATGCTGAGATGAAGATGGAGGTCATGGACACGCCGGGGGTCTTGAGCCGCAACGACGAAGACAGGAACGTGATGGAGAAGATGACGGTAAAAGGCGAGGTAGCCGTTTGCTGAGTTTGACAAGCCGTAAAGATTGCAGCAATGGAGAACCTCCCGTCGAACATCATCTTCGTGACAGATCTCTCAGGTTGAGTGGCGAGGGGGAGGAGGAGGAGGAAGAAGAGGAAGACGTTGGAGGAAGGAGCAGGACGAAGAGGAGGATGAAGATCGCGTTGACTTGCTTCACAGAGACGAGCGGGTCGAAATCAAAGTTGGAGCTGCAGTTGGCGCTGCGGCAGGACTTGAGGGGAAAGTTTCCGAATAGGTGAGAGAGGAGAGAAGAAGAGCTGAGTAGAGGCCAAGAGAAACGGGAAGGAAGAGGAGAAACGATTAGTAGTGGATAGATCACTTGCAGCTGCTCTTGATTTTGAAGATGATGACGTGACGACGACGAAGACAATTTTGCTGTTGTTGTTTTCGTTGGTGGTGATGATATATTTTGCTGCTGCTGCTTCTGCTGCTGGTAGTGGTGGTGAAGATGTTGTTTGCGATCATTGTATTGTTGATTGCGATCATTGTGTTGTTGCTGTTTTCCTTCGCATCCTCCTCCTCCTCCTCCTCCTCGTTACCATTTGTGACGTTTCATGTCGCAGGAGATGGCTGGATGTTATCTCAAAGGGCGACCTCCTTGAAATTGACCCCAGCGAATTCGGGATAGAAAATGTTCAGCTCCTCCTTTCCGCCCCCTTCCTTCCCCCTTTCGCTCTTGCTCCCTCCTCTCTCCCCCTCCCCTTCTTGAATCCCTCTCCTCCTTTCTGCGCCTCCCTCATCAACCGATCCACCCACACCCTCGTCCTCCTCTTCCTCTGCTGCTCCTCCCTTACAGATTCTACTCGCAGGCAGTGGTTGTCTCCTGCATCACCGGGGATGGGCTGGAGAAGCTGAGGGTTCTGCTGAAAGAGCAATCGGGCGCGGGGGGGGGAGCGGAGGAGGAGCGAGTAAACGTCTCAGGCTGATTTTCCTTTCTCTGGCCAGTAGGATACGAGCATGGACATGTTGGAGTAGTCCTCGAGCAGCGGGTTGTACCCGTTCATGCACGCGGTCCTCTCGGTGTCGCCGTACCTGCTGCTAGATGAGGAGAGAAGAGAGAGGGGAGGGAGGAGTGACAGGACGACAGGTATGGTTGAGACGGAGGAGGAGGACTGAGGAGGACGACGGTAGAGGAGGGAACGGAGAGCGAGCAGCGAGAAGATTCAGATGCTCAGCCGGTGGAGGGGAGGAAGTTCAGAGAAAGAGCGGGAGGGGAGGGGCAGGGGAAGTGGAGGAGGTGAGATGAGGTGATGGGGAAGGAAACTCACCTGGAGCAGAATTCTTTGTGTTTGAGGACAAACCCCTCCCTTCCTGTTAGTTTCTTGTACAGGCCTGCATGCTCAGTCATGAGGGTTGTAGCAACGTCAGGTCTGACGTGACAGACGGTGAAAGTCGGTAGGATGGAAAATATCGACCAAACCTGCGAGGGGATAAAGAGGGGTAAATAGAGTACCAAGAGCCATGAGATGGGAGGAGGTAGAGGAGGAGAGGAGATGATAGGAAGGAGGAGGAGAGGAGATACAGGAAGGAGGAGGAGAGGAGATGATAGGAAGAAGGAGGAGAGGAGATGATAGGAGAAGGGGGGAAGTGGAATCATACAAGGGAGGAGGGGTCACGAAGAAGCGAGGGGTCCGAGACAGCACGAGGTAGAGGAGAGGAAGAGAGAAGGAACTGAAGAGGAGGTGAAAACCCGGAGCAGGAGAGCAGAGGAAGGGAGAGCAACCTGGGCTGGTCAGGTAGGACTTGTGAAATCTGCTCCTCCCGTCCAGCTTCGACTGCACCACCTGATCCTCCGCTCAACCATAGGAACGACAAGACAAGTGGTGGGAAGGATCAGACGGAAATGGAGGGGACATGTAGTGGAGAAGATCAAGAAGAGCATGAGCAAGCCGAGCGTTCGGAAGAAGAGGAAGCAGGAAAGGGTTGATGCGGAAACGAGGAAGGCAAAAGGGATATGGAGAGAGCGGTGGCTCGCCATTACCGGAGCATTTATCCCTGGGATGGCGTCTGGCAGGAAGTCAAAATCTGCCAAGACGACGTGGACGCGAGGAAGAGAGTCAGCAATGAGCTTGATCAAACTGCCAGGAAGGAACACTCAGAAAGATCTCGCTCCTCCTCCTCCTCCTCCTCCTCCTCCTCCTGATCCTCCTGTCTCACTGCTACCCTGTTCGTTACTCTCCTCCCTCCCCCCCCCCTTCCCCGGCTCTTCCCAGTGTCCGCTCACGCTCCTCCCCATCTCCCTCCTCCCTCACCTATGAGCACTCGTGGGCAAGAAGATCTCTTGGTGGCGCGGCGTCAACTTGAGCCACGAGAGGCAGCGGGTCAGCAGCTTGCCGTCCATCACCCGCGAGGGAGTTCGACACTTGAGCCGCTTCGAGTCCGGGCAGGCAAACACGTTCAGTTCGTCCCACATGCCCGAGTCCTGCAGGTAGCTGCAGGGAAGGTAAGACCGAGAGTGAAGCAGGAGGAGGAGGAGGAGGAGGAGGAGGAGGAGGAGGAGGAGCAGAAGCAGCAGCTGCAGCAGCTGCAGGAGGAGGGAGAGACATACAATACCATCACACTTGCAGCAGGACCTCACCTGATGATCTTGTCATCCCTCAGCGGCCTCCACTCCTCCACGAACGCTCTTTTGGCCGCCTCCTCCGCTACGAACGATCTCTTGCCCTCCTCCACCAACGCTGCCTTGGCCGCCTCCTCCTTGCTCACGACGGCGACCTCGAAGATGTCTCCAGACTCTGACACCACGATCTTGTCGTGTGCAAGGTTGTCCAGCACCTCCATGCCGATCAGCAGCGTCTCTCGATCCTCCCCCTCGGCCAGAACTTGGACCATGTCATTCCCGCTCTTCCTCCCCGCCAGGAAGCTGGTCGCATCCGCGTGATGGACCTCAGCACAGGGATGGGCACCGCAGACCCTCCTCTTCTGGATGAAGAAGAGCTTGTGCGAGACCTCGACCATGCTGTACCTGCCAACGGCTCGTCAGAGGTGAACGCCAGGGGCTGTCAAACTGACTTCATCCTGTCGTACACGCTGCGATCGCTGCTCTTCACGTAGTCAAGGAACCCCAACGCAAAGGTTCCGTTCCCTCCTCCTATCTCGATGACGTGGAACTTCCTCCCTGGTGCCCCGAGCGCCTCGCTTGCCCTGAGGCTGTCCACGAAGTGACGGGCGACGCTCTGAGCGTAGAAGGGATGAAACAGCTCCGACGGAGTGAGCCATGCCGATCCTCCCTGGTCATACAGTGACTGCACCTTCACTCGGTACTCCGTCTCCGACAGCATCTCATTGAAATTCATGCCGGCCGCGCTGCCTCCTGCCACCAACATAGCGTAAGACTTGTTGGAGAAGGAGCAAGGACATGTGGCAGCACCTGGCATCGACTTGAAGTCTGTGACTGATCCCACCACGTCTTGATCTCTCTGGAAGTAACCTTTCCCTGGAGCATACAGCGAGTCGAAGACGAACTCCCGTACGAGTCTCCCTCCACTCTGTCCTTGCGGGGGAACCACTGAGACGATTCTTCCCGTACTCACACCCCGGAACCCCTCGCTCCTCCTCTCACTCAGCCTCATCCAGCTCTCCTCTCTCATCATGATCCCTCCTCCCTTCCGCCATCTCTCCCTCATCCTCCTCACTCCCTCTCCCCGCCATGCCGGGCTCCCCGCCAAGCGTCCGATCGCCATAGCGACCAGATGCCCGGGACCCGGGGCCCGGCCCGAGGAACTGAACTTAATTAAAAAAAAGCTCACTTGTTGACGGGCAGGATTCAGATATGCCAGCAATGACGGCAGAGGATTTGAAACAAGCGCTCCTCCTTGGCCTGCCTGCTAACCTACCAGCCTCCTCCTCCTCCCCACCTTTCTCGTCCTCCTCCTCGTCGTCGTCGTCCCTCTCCTCTACCTTCTTTCCCTCCTCCTCATTCCCTCTTGAAGTTTCGGCTCTCCCTCTCCCTCTCCTGTCTCCTCCCCTCTAACCTCATCCAGCATATCCTTGTAGCAACTGTGGCTGGTCAAGATGGCTTCCTCGAGAGGTGACCGCCTTGAAGCTGCAACGGCGATGAAAGACTTGAGCAGGTGTCGTCAACATCCGATGGCCCAACAGTCAAGACGTGCATCACGATCTTTACCTCATCCTCGTTGACGGTGTTGTGGCATGCAAGGAAGCAGCTTCCATCTCTTACTTGTGCCTGTGGCAGGGAATGGACTGGACAGCATCCTTCAGTTTGAAAGGAATGAAAGGACCCGACAGCTCGAGATAAAAATGGAGATGAACGCACCGGGAGCGTATGAAGTCAAGTTCATGGCCGACGGAGATTTCGTCACATGCGCAGCACTACCGTAAGTTCTGCGTCCCGAGCGAGACATCCTCGCGTGTTGACGTTCTCTGTCGTGAAGGAGGATGGAGGGATCCCTGTCCAACATCATCATCTTGGATGAGTTCCATCAGGTGCTTTGCACTGCACTGCCATGACGACAAAAGATAAGCTGTGAGCATGATCTTGTTGTTTCTAGGTTCAATATCTTCACGATGATCAGAAAGATATCTCTCAAGTCAACGTGGAAGACATGTTTGAGGTGAAGCAGCAAGACACGTTTCCAGTCAAAGACGAAGACACGTTTCCAGTCAAAGACGAAGACACGTTTCCAGTTAAAGACGAAGACACGTTTCCAGTCAAAGACGAAGACACGTTTCCAGTCAAAGACGAAGACACGTCTCCAGTCAAAGACACGTTTCCAGTCAAAGACGAACATATCTCTCAAGTCAAGGAGGAGCAGATCCATCATGGGCCGGAAGTTTCCCTTCTTATCCCATACGTCACTTCCCAGTCGGATGCAGACAGGGAGAAAGAGACAAAGAGAGAGAAAGAGACAAACGAGAGGATCCAAGAAGAAGGTCAAGTCGTACCAGTCGCAGGAGAAGTTTCGCCTACAGCCATCGAGCAACCTGAGGTCCATGGACCGTCGCTCTCCTGCATTGAAGAAACCCTCCACCCACGGCTGGTTGACGTCAGGAGCCCATTCAAGTCAAGTCTTTCCTTCATTAAGGATCGTACCCCCAAGTCAGTTCGCATCTCCGAGGAGGCGGTGGTGCACGAGATCCGCCCGTTGAGCGGGAGGGATGGGAAGAGAGCTCCTCTTACAGCCAAGGTCGATGTGGAGGCTGGGAGGACGAGAGGGAGCGAGGGTCTCCCTGTGCGAGCTGCCGCGAGGGAGAAGTGGCAACAAACTCCTGGCAGAGGATTTCTCTTTGGGGCGAGGGAGGGAAAATCAGGAGAGATGAAATCGATGCTGCAGAGGAAGGGCATAGCCGGAGGGAGCCCACCGAGTCCGAGGCCGCAAAACCAGACCTGCATGTCGGAGGACGAGTCCATGCTGAGAGTTGAGAGCGCAACGATGGAGCAAAGGCTAGGTCAGAATCAGAGGTCCTCGTCTCTACAGCAGGCTTCTCCTCCTCAACTGCCATCGACGTCTGCGCCACGACACAAGGTCTCTCCCCAGCAGCACAAGTCGGATCCCCCGCCTCCTGCAGTCGCCGAGGTCGTATCGTCGTTTCTCGGCCCGAAGTTCAACGACTACAAACGGACCCGCCCGATGATCGACGCCAAGAAGCGACTCCATGGCGGAAAGGAGGGCACCGACCCGCCGGCAGGCTCGCAGGAGGCGGTCAAGGATCTTGACCGCTCCATCACAACTGTAGAGGAGATTTTGGGCGAGATGGAGGAGCAAGAGACGAGCGACGTGACCTGGCAGAGTCATCGACGACGGCCGGAGTTGGAGGGAGAGAAGACGTTCGAGCAGTTTGTTGAGGAGAAGAGGAGGGGGAGAGGAGGGAGGGACGCTATCCTCCGCTCTCCTGACGTTTCCTCTCCTCCCCTGCTCGATCCAACTCATCGGTCAGGCTTCTTCTCCTCTCCTGCCTCCCAGAGCACTCCGGTCAATCGTCTCGAATTCTCCTCTCCTCTCCCTCCCCCTCCAACTCTTCCAGACAGTCCGATCCGTCGTCCAGAGCTCCCCTCCCCTCCCCTAAAGAGCAGGCCGTCGCTTGCTGCAGATCCACCCACTCCTCCTCCACCAACTCCCCAGAAGAGTCCGATTGTTCTCTCAGAAACCCCCTCTTCTCCACCGCAGATCGTTTCGCAGGCCGTTGACGCCCAGCAACTGTCTGACACCAGGGAACGGGGTTCCTTCAGGGAGCAGCCTGGCGGTTCCCCGGATCGCTCCAGGAGCGCAAGGGCCATGTCCGACATGTCGGATGAGACTCGCACTACAGGTGGGTCTTGTCGTGATGATCTTCCTATCTCAATTGCTGTTTGACGCTTGTTCCCTTGTTCCCTCCCCAGCATCAAGCGGGCAGCAAGGCAGCAAGGCAGCAACGAAACAGCCTCCGTCCTTCGAGCGAGGAAGGCGGTTCCTGCAGCAATACCAAGGTCACTGGATAGATTTGAAGGCCTTGCTTCTCCTCCTGCTCCTCCTGTTGTTTCGTTTGCTTGCTCAATCTCATCCCTCCCTTCCTCCTTCCTCCTTCCTCCTTCCTCCTTCCTTCGTTCGCATGATCGGCCTGCATTTCTTCAGATTCTTCTCGAGACCAGAAGAAAGATCAACACGTGATCACCTCTCTCCTCCCAAAACAACGAGTCACTCAATGTGCAGGATGGAAGCCAGGAAGATGAAGATACTGGGCAGGTTCGCTCCAACGACGACGACGACGACGACGAGCAGGAGGGTGGGGAGGAAGAAGAGGCAAGAAAGATAGGGAGCCTGAGTCCGGACAGCTCGATTGTTTCCTTCACATACGTGAGTGATGGTCATCTTTGCTCTTCCTCTTCCTCCTCCCCCCGCCCATCTGAATCTGCTGACTTCTCCGTCCTCCCTCCTCCCTCCACCCTCCTCCCTCCT